CGATGAACCAGGGTCTGCGCCCTCCCCCAAAAGGAACAGGGGTCTTGGTGCCATCCCCCTTCACCTCCCCCCCATCATCCCTGCAGGCGTTTTAGGTTCAAAATGCATGTTGAGGGGAAGTACTGAGCATATTTTTTAACAGCATCAGTAGAATTAATAAATGAGAAAGCTCATTTCCAGCAGAGCAGCCCCATAGCAATTCGTCTTGGGAGAAGGTTGGTGGGCAACCCCAGGGCCCCGGGGAGCTTCTCCTCGTCCCCAGGCTCTGGCAGCGCCTCTCCCAGCACACAAACTGGGAAGAACTGGGTCTGGCTCTTACCTGGCTGAGCCTGTCCTGGTCCCAGAGGGAGCCGATGATGAACGCCACCAGCCGCCCTTCCTCAAACCAGCCGAGGGAGAGCTCCGGGCACAAGTTCAGAAAGTGGCAGATCTCATCCAGGTGGAGGGGACAGTCTCCGGAGACGGATATAAAGGCTGGAGGGGGACGGCTGTGAGCACAGTGAGGGGGACCCAGACAAGCCCCCGGCACTGATGTGGGGGGACGTGGGACACGATGGGGAGGGATGGCACATGTCCTGCTGCCTGCTTGGTCTAAAGGCGCTGTAAGGGACGGGATGGCTCCGGGGAGCAGCTCTGCTCCTCCAGAGGCAGCCCCCCACGGCCCAGGGACCAGCTCCCCGCTCCCGTTGCTGATTCTAGGGCTACAGCAGCGGGTGCTGAGACCAACCCTCCCTCCTGGCATCTGCCCGGCTGCCCTTGCCCTTGGGAAAGGAGGGAGAAATGGGTGGGTGAGTCCGAGTGAGGGGAGCGGGGGTGCCTGGGATGGAGGGGAGGAGGGAGGTTGCTGGGGGTGCATCTCAAAGTGCCCCTGTGCAATAGGAGGCTGAGCATGGCATCCTTCCTCCCACCTTTCTCCTCTCCTGTCTGCTCCCCTCTGGTGGGGCTGTTTTGGGAGAGCTGCTCCCCACTTGCCTGGTCCTGCTCCAGGATCACCTGGCCACAAGTCACGGCCACCGGCTTCCCTCCCTCATCACCCACGAGGGCATATGTGGGGGTTTTGCCAGCACGGTGTGTCCCCAAGGAGCATGAGGGACCGGTGGAGGGAAGGGACGGGGCATCTCCAGCCAACACCGCCAGGCAGGACCTCCCCGGGGCAGCCCCTTACCTTCCCGCTCGATCTCGAACACGCTGACAGCATCCTCGGGGCTGAGGCAGCGAAACTCACTGGCAGGCAGCG